GTTTGGAGCTCCTCCCCAATCTATGCACCCCACCCTCCAGCTCAGGCTGGGCAATCCCCAGTCCAAGCTCCCTCTCCTCCCTTCTCCTATCCTGAAGAGCACACTGGAGCTGGGGGGTGGAGGACCTAGGTGGGGAAAGCTGCAGACATGCAGCCAGCTTCAAACTGAATCTCGATTCCCCTGCAATGGAGAACGTCTATTGGGTGGCAGGGGAGGGTTGCTGTAACTTGTGGTGTTTCCTGTAAAGCACCATGAGTTACAGGAGGAAGCTGCACGTCTGTCAGTGCCCAAACACTAAATTCAAAGTCCTTCTTACAAATCCATCCAGGATTCTCTCAGGAGCAGTTGAGTTTGAATGACAGAGAAGAGGTCCGATATGTCATGCTGACTGTATGAAATGAAATGCTGTAACTCAAAAGTGATATTTTCTTCTCTATCATCTTGAGTGTTTAGGCAACAAGTTCGTGTCTAGATGTGAAAAACCTTGTGAAGCTCACCTTAAAACTGTTGACTTCTGTTAAGCATCCTTTCTTCAAACAATTTTAAGTTGATGGTTGGGAGAGATCTAAAACAATCAAAGGAACCCTCCAAGGAATATTAAAATATTCTCTTAGTTAAGTCCAATGTTACAAGCATAGACTTTAATAAGACAATTTAATTTCATAATATGTTGTCCTTTAGCCAACTGAACAGTATTTTATCAACCACAGTAAGCAGGCAAGGCTGCCCTCTTGTTTTGTGAACACAATCACCTTTGGTTTCAGCCTGTCTGGAGAGGAACCCTGCTACTAAAGTGGGTACCACTCTATTACGCAGTTTCTGTTGAATCCCCGAAGAGCTGGTTCTGCATCAAGAGAGCCATCAGACAACTCCAGCTCCTATATTGAAGTTCATGCAGCAATTTGCATAACCAGAAATAAATTCAAACAACAAACACAAAAATTTAATTAGGCTATTGCACAGAGTGCATAGGTAGTCTCTTTTGACATGTTAACTCTCTCAAGTTTTACAGTGGCAAGTGGCCTGTAATAATCTCGAAGCATTGTAATAAAAAGCTGATATTCATATGGAATACTATTTTTGTAACTGTAATATTTGCTCAACCTCGAGGTAAAATTTATCCAGTTTAAAAACTAAATTTTAAAAATCGTTACTGAACACAACATCCTTTGTTACCACCCATATTCATATAAGTGTCCAGGGTAAAGTGCCAAGAAGATGAAAGAACAACTCATGAGTCATTTCCCCAACCCATTTAAAATATTGGCTCAAAGCTATGTTACCCAACAGAAAATATTTACAAATGGGGGCACTGTCCACATACTGTAGTTGCACACAAAAATACCGTTATCGACATAGCTTTTGTAAAACTAAGGTGACATGCCATCAAGTTCTACTGCAGGGGAGATGCTGGCAAGAAGCTTTGTAAGTGGGCATAGGGACAGAGTGGGAGGAAAAAATAATAAAAAAAAGAAAAGAAGTATAGATCATCTACATTTACAATGCTGCTCAGCTGATTATTAAGAAGTCACACGCTACCTTCTTCCTCCTGCAGTCTGAGTTCCTTCTTAACTGGAAAGGAGTCTAGTCTGGGCAGACTGACCCACTAAGCAAACCCAGGTACTCAGAAGAGTAAGGTATTCCACCTCTTTTAGCCACACAGGAAGAGAGAAACAGAAGTAGTTCACAAATGTAAATCCTCAGCTGAGCAAAACCAGGAGAGAAAGAAGAATGCAATTACTGTTCTCTCTCAAGCCAATGGAGATTGCCATCCAAAGAGCAGTTCCCAACCTGATATCAGCATTCCCCTTGCCAAAAGGGAAAAGAACAAACACCCTTACAACATACTTTGCTGAGGTAGATTTCAAAACACACCATCAAGGTAAGTCAGCATTAGCTTCCCATTTACAGAAGGTAAATTTAAGGTACAGACTAAATGATTTGCCTGAGTCCAAGTCAATCATCCATGCTGAAAACCACAGAATCCAGGTCTATTAATTTATGGTCCATTAATGGTCCATCACCCACCCAACAGAAGAAAACTGCAATGGGAAATAGCCGCTTTGTGCTTGACTTGCCCAGTGAATAATCTCAAAGCCTCTTAATGAAAAAAATTAACCTCCCCCCTTCCAATCCTACTTCCATTGTTGCCTTGTAATTTGGCCAGAAACTCAGAAAATGATTGTTATAGCCAAATTTTCTTTCTAGAAAATTGGGTCTAACTTCTGTTCATTGCAAGTCACTGACCTTTCACTGGGGTGTTATTTTCACTCATACCACTGAAGTTCAGACTTAATGAGAATTTCACAGTTCCATTTTCTGATTTTCAGCAGTTTAGATTAGAAAAATGTGAGGAATATTTTTCTCTACTTTTTTGGAATTAAGTGCAAGAATGCCAGAGGAATGTTCAATATCATGGCACATGCTGAGAGAACAATAGCTCTTTCTGATACCAGAGAGCAAAGCCAATAATTAAACGGGGGGGGGGGAAGGCAGCAGTTATCCAAATGGGTCAGAGTCTGCAAAGATACAGAACAGTGCAAGATTGAGGTGTGTGTTTGGGGGGAGGGCTGGTGAACAAAGGAAAGACCTTTCTTACTTTTTCAGTGCAGCTTTTTTTTTTCCCCAGAGAAAAGGAGACGTCTCCTACTGTAGAATTTTGCAAATGCTTCCAGAAATAGGCTATAAAGGAATGAAATTGCTTTTGCTTATTAAAACTAGACACATCCTGTCACAAAGACATATGTTAACCAGAGGATAAGAAACAAAGGCATTATTGCCAACCCCAAGAGTATTAACAATTTGGGATTACAATTAAGCATTTGTCACATGTCAAACCCTGCCCTCTCCTAAATCATAAGTAGTTAAAAAAGGGGAGCGAGGAGAGATTTTTTTGAAGAGAAAAGTATATATTTGGAGTTCCCTTCTAGTTTCTGAGCCTTTTAGAATTCACATTTCTAAACATTTTTTTCCCTTCTTCTTATGGAGCTAGAAACTTAGAAAAAAAATACCGAGACGCTTATCTAATGGCATAACTTCCAAAGGTGGGACTAAGAAATACTAAATATAAAATCTGTGATAAAATCAAAATAATTGGCAGTAGTGGCATTGATAAATAAATATATCTCTGATTTCATGCTATAGCATGCTAATTAGTTATGGGAAACTATTAAAAAAGAAGGCACAGGGATTTCTTCAGGTTACCATCTTTGAGAAACTAATAAAAAATTAAGGCTATGATAGAGCTCCAAGAGAGGAACAAACCTTTATACCATTAGTAAGAGCATTCTGCACTGCTGGAGGAATGCAGCTACTTAAAAAAAAACAAACAAACAAAAAAAACACCCAACTAGGAATCTGATGCATCTCCATTTCTTTCAGTAGTATTTGACCACTAGGGTCTTTAAAGCAAACTATACCAAAAACATTATACAGAAAATGGTGCCTAGCTTTACAAGTACTCCCCAGTTAGGCATACTCTTAATCAGATACCAAATTAGTGGGACTACACTACTGCAGTTCCCTTAATTTAGCAAGAAGGCATTCCTAAAAGACCTCTTGAATTCTACAAAGCAAACAGTTGCATTTTTAGCTGCCTCTTACTACTCGCACAATACCTTTAAGCTTATGCTTAGCCCATGATGGCAGACCTAGCTTGACAGATGATTTTATCTAGCCAGTAGGGCTTTTAGCTCATTACTGTACATCTTTTTGGGGCCAAATGCTTACCCTCCCACTCCACTGGAGAGAGAAAAGTTGGGATTAATTCTTTCCAAGGATTGAAACCACCTTTCTAAAAAAAAGCCACTTCTGATGCATCTAACATTAACTGAGACTTTATGCACTAAAGCTTGTATCCCTCCATTTATCCTTCACTGGGCGACCAAGATTTACCCAAGGGAGCTTATATTCTGTTAGACTGTTTGGAATTTTGTTATTACCAGGGATCCTGGTTTTCCCTGTTAAAAAAAATCTCCAATTTTTGGATTAAAGTAAGTAAACCAAAATCCACATTTTTCCATGATTAAAATGAAACGTCACTAATATCTATCTATCTATCTATCTAAGTGGCATTTCATTTTAATCACAGAAAAATGTGGATTTTGGTTTACTTATTTTAATCCAAAAACTGATGATTTTTTTTTCTTTTTATCAGAGAAAACCAGGATCCCTGGTTATAAGTCACAGGGTGGAAGGTTTGTTTGTCCTCACTCCAGTATTACCTTGCCCATTACTAATAGGTATTACTCAGAATGTATTTTAGCAATTTAAAGATGCAAGAACAGACAGAGTCAAGGAGTTTTAGGGTCAATCGTTTGTCAAACATATTGTTGCCCACTGACACTAGACCAGATGCAGCAACACTGATCTTGGGTTTTTTTAACATGTATATTAAGATCTGAGCCAAAGATTCCAACTCCTTTACATCAGGAAAAATTCTGTATTTTCTACTTGTCAGCTAAGGTAAGTAATGTGGTGCTGGAGTCTGTTTAATTATTGGCTTTGCTGTCTGGTGCTCTCTACTAATGTAGGCTGGAATCAAGAGTGATTTTATTATAGCAAAAGTTTTAGATATTTAGGGAAGGAGAAGTTCTATGCTATTTTATCTGTGGGGTAGCCTGAAGACCTGTCAAACCACAATCAGTCTGATCACAAAATATCTATCTTCCTTCCCTGCTTTCAGTTTCTGACACCGCTGCTGAAATGAGTGAATCCTGCAGTACAAGCAGTTGCACGGGCCTCCAGCAGGGAATTCACAAGGCAAAACAGCATCAAGCTGTAAACATCTTACCTACCCACCAGCCTCCAGTGCAGCACTCATCTGCCTAAGATCTATGCATGTCACCAGAACCCTAGGAAGTGTATCTGACTAGCAACAGCCGACCAAAATATTTTGATGCATCTGAAATGATGAATAGAAAAGACAATAGATATTAAAGGCGTACAGAAAGCACAGTCACAGTTGCTAGCATTTAAAAGGTCCGGAACAAAAGCCCTACCAGTAGCAGGGGATTATGGCTTCAGAAGTTGCAAAATTTACACTTGAATCCTGAAAATGCGACGGCTGCCAAGCTTCAAGTTACTTGTCAACATAAAAAACTGTGGGTATTTGGCAGAACAGCTCGATCCCCCCCTCCCTGCCTTAGCCATAGGCACATTTGGCATTAAAATTTGCTTAGCCAACAACTTCAGCTGTCTGTCAAGTCTGAAGTGGCTGCCTCGGGGCTGCTTGCACCGTGGGCATGTTCGCCTTTCAGACAAGTTCTCCTGCAGATAAACCCGCCCGCTCAAGTTTAGCGAGCGCTCAGCCTCTGCCGCAAACTGGTTCCCATTCGCGCTGCGCCGCTCAGCGCTTCTGATCCATGACAAGCTGCCCTGCGACCAGCCCAGCCCCGAGGATCCGCTGTAACACGATCCAGGAGCTTATGGCAATTAAAAAGAAAACCAACAAAAAACGCCTGGCCATGCCAAGCGCGCACGTTTAAAGAGACGCAGCTTCCCTTCAAACAGGCTGCAGCCGTGGGGCTTGAAGGCAGGCTCCTTCTCTGCCCGACCCGGCCCACTGGGGTGCCTGCCCGCTCCCCGCCCCCCTGCGCGCACAGCACTGCCTGGAAACAGCGGAGGAA